GCAGAAGCTGGAAGCGAGGCGCTGGCCGGGCCCAGACCTTGGCTATCATGATGGGAAACTTAGCAACAATGAAGCAACTATAATGACTATAATGATATCCAATGATATCTAATGATATCTAATGATATCTAATGGTATCTAATGGTATCTAATGATATCTAATGATATCTAATGATGGGAAAATTTTGACGATTTTGGACACTTTGAGGGTTCTTGGAGTCTTAAAATGGCATCTTGCGGAGGAAAATCGATGCTGGACATGGCGCTTGCGCGTTGCTTGTTCCAGGTTCCTCATCCGCCGGGCAGTGCGATGTACGTCACTGGCCACGCTGCTCTACTGGTACGTGGCTGTCGGGGCCCAGTGGGCCGCTGCATGGTTGAGCATATACACCATTGTAGCCCTAGAAAACTTTGGCGTATATTTGCATAGATGTGACTGAGATAAATAGGTCGATACGCAATGATACACATGTATATACACATGTATCATCCTAATGAATACCCTGATTTGAAGAGTGGTTTCTGTGTCCCCATGACATGAATAAACCTGGTTGCAGCCTGTGATGGCCGGGAAGCGACGGCAACACCAGAGGCTGAGATCGATGAAGGTGAATCTGGTGGCCTTTTTGACATGGCGCGCTGGGTTTTTTTTACGCCGGAAAGTGTGTGTTTTTTCTGTATGAAGTGACTCGATGTCACAGGGGGGCCCCTAAGGATCCTAAGGGGGTGGATTGGAGGGTCATGTCGTGTCCCAAATCTGAGGAAGAATTTTTATCGAGAATAATCGATGGTCCACAGTTTACCCAGGTTGCTAAAATAGCAAACGTTGGACTATACATTTAGCAACCTAGCCAACTGGTTGGTTGCATCAACTTGTTGCGCATCCAGCCAATGGAACCACCTATGATAGGAGAAGTTTCCCGTGGTGCTTGATTGACTTCAGTTTAGTGTTCGCTAAGCACCAGTTTAGTATCCTACCTGCTTGGTGACGTTGCCCACGGGGCTGCCGCACCTGGGCCACCGCCACCACCGTTCGGATCCGTTCGGCAGGTCCGGAGGAAGCTGCTTGAAGCTTTGACGGAACAGGATCAACATCTCTTGCAGCAGCAGGCGCCACTGGTGCCACTGGGTGCGGACCAACAAACCGGGAAGGCTGGGGAGGTACCCTCTGGTAATTTAACATAACTATTGAAAATCACCATTTTTAATGGGAAAATCCACTATAAATGGCCATTTTCAATAGCTATGTTAGTTTACCAGAGGGTAATCCACCCAAACCCACCTAACATGGTTAAAATGTGGACGAAGGAGGAAACTCAGCAATTTTGTCGGGCTTCAACAATTGGGACTGACAGGTCATTGGTGGTCATGTGGTCATTGATAGTCATTGGGTGATGAGTCATTTGTACAAGTAATGCATAAGTTACTTAAGTTTAATCCCCCCACTCACTGGTTGGATACCCCCCTAAAATGGTATCCATATTCTCAGAGCAGATCCAGGATGTTGCAGATGTTTCCCCTCTAATTTTGATGTTTCCCCGTGCAGGTGCTACAAACTATATATGATATACACACAGCAAACTATAATATACGTATATATATAGTATTATATTATATTATATATAATCAAATATACGATGCTCATAATACATATACACACATCATATGTCATCATATATTATGCGTTATATAGATATGACATGATATGACTCATGTTGCAGATAACAGATATACACAGCACCTGCCAGGTGCTGCTGCGCAAGAAGCTCCTGTGGTGCCTGCGCCACGCCAAGGCCGCAGGAGGCGTCGCAGTGACCATGGCGGCCATCGCTCGGCGCCATAGAAATCCCATGGGTTTTTTTCCATCAGATTCCCCCAGGTATTAAGGTATTTTTTGGGGTATTCCACCAGGTATTTTGGGGATGTTTTAACAGTATTTCTTGGGGTATTTTCCCGATTTAGCTTTGGGGATCATGGTACATCCCATTTTTGCCTGGTCTCTTCGCAGTGTTTTCAGCAGCCAGGGCTGTTCTAGTGGGGTTGTTCCTCAAAGCCAGGTCACCACCAGAATCATTTAAGATGGGGACACCCTGTGTTCTGTGGAGACACCATCTATAGATCCGGGATTACCAGGTTAGATCATTCGAGGGGAGCACATAAGAAGAATGGGGGTTGCACCAGCAAACGTGTGGTAGAACCAAGAAACGTCGTACCTTAAGATTGAATGAGTTTTGCCCAGGGCTCATACAGCCTGTCAAACCCTTGTGATTGGTTTTTTAGCGAAGGTCATAATACCATTGGTAAGACAAACAGTTTTGCTCGATCATGTGCGCCACGGTCAAAAATTATTTGGATTGTATAGACATACATACACTCATATTAGGGGATGGTCATCTAAATCCGTCAATTAGGGGACTTTGAAAAACCGATTATTTGTATGGATTCTCATGGCGGCATATACCATAGCCCATATGACCCATGGCATTTTACCATGGCATATATGGTTAGCAATGTGGCAACAAGACCCCATCGACTGGCAAGCGATAACATGATTTGAGGCCAAAAGGGACTGGACAGACAAGAAGGCGCGCAACTTCATGGGTGTCCAACATCTTTTTGGGGAAGAGAACTGTGAGTGAAAAGAAGGCTTCTGCCATATTATGATGTTTAGATTGGACAACAATTTCTTGATAACGTCTTCTACTAGTAGTATTGGATACTAGATGATAATAGGACATTTTTATACAATGTTGATTTTCATATCATATTATCCAATTTTGATGTCGAATAGTATTGAATACTAGGAAACAAATGAGCGCTTGGACGGCCTGCAGATCGAGCGCTTTCGACATGCCTTGGTGGATCAGAAGCAAAGTGGAGAGGTGCAAAGTGGTGCCGTGGACAGATGGGGCGTTTACTGAAGGAAAACATGGATGAAATTATGCAGCTATGATGGCTATAACTCAGGTTTTCTTGTAGAAATGCATGATTTTCCTCTTTGGGGATATTTTCATTTTCCTCTCAATCTGAAACAAAGGAAAGGCATTGGCATCCTCTTTTGCTCAAGCCTCCTGAAAGCACTCCTCGTTCTCTTGGCTTGCCATTTATCGAAGCTATGGCACCAATGAAGGCAATGAAGGCGATGAAGGCCATGAAGGCGATGAAAGCAATGAAGGCGATGAAGGCGATGAAAGCAATGAAATCGATGAAGAAGGCCGTTGAGGAGGAGGCACCCGCGATGAAGGCCATGAAAGCGATGAAGGCCATGAAGGCCATGAAGGCGATGAAGGCCATGAAGTGAAAGATCTTCGGATGGCATTGCGGGCACCGCTTGGGTCACTCTACTCAAGTGGGATTTCAATGGGAGGAGTTTGTGCAGGTCCTTAGGGTCTGCTGGCCGCAAGCTGTACAGAAGAACGGCGTACTTTAGTTCGCACTGTGTCAGTGTGCTTGCAAAAAACGCGGACCTTTTTGATGATGTGAGCAGCTGTTGCTTCGGATATCATTATTGTCTTGAATTGTCGTAGTATGTTTATGTATGTTGTACAGTAGTATGATTTAGTAGTCTTAAATCTTCAACAACAATGTGTAGAAGCCGTAGTGGCCAGAAACTCATTTGAGATATTTGAGAGACAGATATTTTCAGAGACCACAGTGGCTATGGCATTGAGAGCTCATGATCAAGAAGCTCAGCTTTGGTTGCAAGATGTTGCAAGTGCGGCTTGTGAAATGACCGAAATGACCTCATGTGTATTCATGTATTCCGCTTTGCTCAAGCCTCCTGACAGCACTCCTCAAACTCGTGGCGATTTGCCCTTGCCATTTATCGAAGCTATGGCACCAATGAAGGCAATGAAGGCGATGAAGGCCATGAAGGCGATGAAAGCAATGAAGGCGATGAAGGCGATGAAAGCAATGAAATCGATGAAGAAGGCCGTTGAGGAGGAGGCACCCGCGATGAAGGCCATGAAGGCGATGAAGGCGATGAAGGCCATGAAGGCGATGAAGGCCATGAAGTGAAAGATCTTCGGATGGCATTGCGGGCACCGCTTGGGTCACTCTACTCAAGTGAGATTGCAATGGGAGGAGTTTGTGCAGGTCCTTAGGGTCTGCTGCCTGCAAGCTGTATAGAAGAGGGCGTACTTTCGTTCGCACTTTGTCGGTCAGCCAAAAGGTTTTTTGAAGTGTGCACAATTGTTGCTGCGGCATTTTGAATATGATGGATGGTGTTTTTGTGTTACAGGGAAGAAAGCTGACACGGTCCGACAAGGGCACCCATCTGGAATCTAGATGAATCTAGTAGTTTGTGCACCCGCCAACCTGGCAATTTGCCTCCACTGGGACATTTAGCCTCAACTTACATTCAGTATCATTCAGTGGAATTGTACTTACCTGAGATTCGGCAATGGTGATAATGTCTTGCCACAGGACACTGGCGGAAATCTGGACTTGGTGAATGGGACTGGGCCTCAGAGCCTTGAACAAGGGGGGTTGCAGCTACTAGAGATGCCAGCAGGGGTCAGCATGGCACTTTCCAAGAATCTGCTTTGTAAGACACTGAACTTTACAGTGTGGCGCGTAAAATGTATTTATGTGAACGAATATGTGTTGGTTCTTGTTCTGAAAATAGTGTATCCCCAAAATTAATGGTTTATCACCAGGTTCCCAAGTATATAGATGTGAAACTTGCAAAGATGTGACATTTCCTTTTGACACACCTCATTTGCCAAGACCAGGATTTTTGGGCATTTGTGCGGTATTTTTGGGCATTTTTTGTGTTCGTCACAGGTTGAAGGAAGGCATTCCACTTCCTGTGGATCCCTCCTTGCTTCTCGTTTGGGTCCTCAGTGACTCCTGATGCAGAGCTCATCCCTGCCATCCGAGTGCCTCAGGTGGGGATACTACCAGAAGAGCTTGGAAACCCAGGACTGCAGATGGATGATCATCTGAGACCGGGCAAACCGGGGGCACACACCTTGGGATGTTGGGATGCTCACATCGCATCTAGAGTAGCTATGAGATCTATGAGTAGTTTGTGTTTCTTTTCCTTGATACCTGCGGTGCCACCGCACGGCGCACGGCCGAGGTGTACCTTGCTGAAATCTGCCATGAATCCAGGCGTGTTGGCTTGCCAGGTGCCGGTCCTGGAACATGGGGAGAGATTTCCTGGCCATTTCAGCCATGATTTCCACCTATGGCTGGGAAAAGCCACATGCTTTCTTTGGGAACACCCAAGTTTCTATCGCCAAAATTTGGGGCTCAAGTTTGAAGACCTGCCCCTGGATGCCTTTGGGATGGAGAGTGGCTCACTGGGAAGAAACGGTTTGTGTTGGAACATGCTATGTACATCTAATATAATTTCTGGAAATCTTAGTAGCATGTTACCTAGAAATCTGCTAGTACATAATGACATAGTACATGTTATTAGAATTTGTTCTGGATTTTTGCAGAGTGACACAAGAGATTTGCAGACCTCCACAGGTGCGGCATGCGAACAAGAGCGGCACGATCAGTATCAAGAAGGCCAGGGCAATCCTGGACGATTTTATCTAGGTAGGTCTATAAAGTTGGACGACTACCTGAATATACATATATAATTTATAATAATATATATATATAAATAAATATATACATATAGAACTGATCATGCACATGGAGCCTAAACATTACAATGTAATGTCTAAAAATGCTTTAATAATGGTCAGCTACAGTACTTGAACCAATCCAGAAGTGAACGCTGTTTACCGTCTTACACCTAGGATGCTCAGGTAATTTGGATTCCAACTCCCCGTGAAGAAATGGGTGACCCAAGGGTCCCAGCATGGTGGGTTTGCGCTCCGACTTGGACATATCCAAATTATCCGGGTCGACTTGGGCTCGCGACGGATGGTTTCGGATCCCAAAAGATAAGGGTATGGCTAGAAGATTTGAAACCCTTAGGGTATGGCAGTTTGACTGAAAATAGGCTACTCCAGAATTTAATGGTTCCGCAATTCACTGGCCATTTTGCGGTGTACCCTGAAAAGTGTATCCCATTTTCAGACACAGTTACAATATGTTGTTATATGTTCTATCATATTCCACACCACTATATCTCCATTATCCCCATTACATCTGTATCAATCTGTATCATATGCATAGCCATTTGGAGGTCATGGTGAAGGAAGGGGATGATCTACGGCAAGACCAGCTTGGCATCCTAGGATTCCGAGGTATCCGGCAAGATCGGTGGTCCTGAAGATTGGTTTCCAGATGAGTTCCAGAACTGAAGAGTTCATCTTTTTTCATCTTTTTTCCAGGATTCAGTTGCTACACACCTCTCGCCATGGGATGGCTTCATGTCTGGGGTGCTGAACACCGAGGCTTGTCCTGCAGCTCATTATTCTGATGGATTCGATCCTGAAGAGATACGGTGCCTCGCGCAAAGGGTGGCAACGGGGTTTGTCTCATTGTCTCAGAATACGGACCCCCAAATGGCTATCTTGGGAAAATGATGACTAACCAATAACCAATGGATATCAACGGATTTATGGGTAAACAATTTTCAGACAAACCCAGTTGTTTTTGAAACGTGTCTTTACACTTTCACTGGCACTAGTCATGGCTGTTGCTGCATCCAAGAAAGCCAGTGACGAAGGAGAGACGTGTTGGAACCCAATGCTTTTGCCCTTCCTTTTGAGGGTTTGCAGAGGGGGCTGCGAAACTCATTGGAACTACACATCAAACATCCAACTCACTTGACTTCTGATGTTTTCCTATCATTTCCCTCGGTTCATCATGGTTCATCCATACCCGAATTGGTTGAAGGGAGCATCTCCAGGAAATCGCAGCCAGTTTAGGGATAGCAATCTATAGGTTTCCTGCCAATTTGCCCCCTTCCGCCATCTTAAAGCAATCCATTGATCTGCTTATTATATCTATGTCTATATGGGTATGGGTCAATACCTATAGATACATTTTTAATGGGATGAACATCCATAAATCCCAGCTATTTTGGGGTTCACTAGGTACCAGGGTTTTGACTCATAGCCATATCTATATATATGCCAATTCGCTCAAAGACCTACATCCCATTTCTCCATCCCATTCGATCGCGTGATTGGTCCCATAGTTTGCTGCTTGTTGATCTCGGGAGGTTTGGACCTTCAGCTGACGCCGTACCAGGTGATTGTCCGCGGTCCCAGCGTTTCAGATCCTTTTGGCTTGATTTGGCATGGTATTTTCTTTGTTTCGTGCTGGATTTGGCATGGTTCTATACAATTGTTCTATATCCAAACATGTTTAAATTGACACAGGAAAGCCAATGGATTGCAAGGTCTTGGGCGGATAGAACCGCCACAAATGGACCCCTCGCGAAGTAGAAAGACACCGAACATTTGCACCCAAACTTCGACTCGTAAGATATGTTTCATTCTGTCTGTTCTTGGCATCCAAAATAGTTGACCCATTTTGAACCAATGTCGTGGGATGTCGTGGGTTACAAGGTGTTACACGCCCCATTTGCAGATTGATCGCAGCAAGGCTTTGTCGCGAAATGATGGGATGGTCGACTTCGTAGGAGTCCGAGAGGGGAGACATCCACTGTAAGGACCGTGTGAAGGGTGAGAACTTACTAGTAGAAGACATGCAAATCATATGGGGATTATGGGGCTATTGTGGATTTATCATGGATTGATGATGGGGTTACGATGGGTTACGGCGTTTACGGGTTACTGTAGGTTTGGCTTGGGTACATTCGGATCATTCGGGCTCTGCCGTTGCTGAAGGCATCCACTGAGGCCTTTGGGGCCTGGTGATTTTCCAGTGAACGATTGCTAGTGGTCCCACAAGTGAAGGGTTTGTGAAAACTAAGGACTCCCAAAGCCACTTTTGACCAGTGCCATTTTTCTTGGCAAAGAGTTTTTATGAGTTTTTCTCTATTTGTTGAAACTCCCATGCTGCGTTGGTTGATGTTGGCAATGGAAACTTCCCCGTTGAATCCGATTTATAGATGGTTTTCCCACTGAAAGCCCATTAAAACGTGTGGATTTTCCACCCTTTAGCCTCAACAAAAAGATAGAAACGTAAACGTACTTCATCAATAATTACAGTAAATGGGATTAAAGGGTTAAGTTATATATATATATATAAACCTTCATCATGGTGAAACGTAAACGTACTTCATCACTATCATAACAAACATGCGATTCATAGGATTTCACCATATTTCACCAACCTTTATCTTTTCGCGGCTTACTTTTCTGTTGCGTTGCAGAGGTGCCCGACTCCGCGAACTTGTCGAAGGTGTTGAAGGAGCACAGCAATGCCTGGAACTCAGTGGGGAGATCCATGGTTTTCTTTTTTTGCTTCCGAAAATTGGGCTACTCCCAAATCATTCATTTATTAATATATATATATATTATATATTATATATATATAAATCCATTTTGGGGTACCCACATTTATGGAAACTCCCATATATATAATATACATATGACCATTTGTCAAAAATAGTTGTTTAGAAGTTTAGTATTGGTTGTTGATAATTCATCTGGGTCTACTGTTTTTTCCTCTTCGTTATGAGGCGGCACGCAACTAAATTCAGCAATTCTGCAAGGCAGCGCTAGCAAACCCGCTAGGTTTGCGCTAGGTTTGATTGACAGCCATGGCCTCCATGTCGTGAATGTCTTGCCAGCTTTTCTTACAAGTCTGTCAGTTTCCACATATTCCCAAATTTTCGATTTTTTTTTACGTATTTTACGCGCTAGATCGCCGCTAGCAACGCGCTAGCGAAAATTGCAAATACATGCCCCGGTCCACCCGCAGCCCATTCAGAGGCACAGCCATGTTCACGCTTTGGTAGCTTACAGTAAGGAAACAGCGTTGATCAGGAGGCATGTCAAGAAGCATATTGCATTCAGAGAGGCGCACACACAGAGACACACAGTTCAGGAGATAGTACCAGCGACAGCGAATGAAAACCGACGTGCGTTAGCCGATTCCTGTGGTTTTAGAAAGATTTCCAAAGGTAACGAAGAATTTCCACGTTTTCACGTCATCAAGGTAGGTCATGTTTTTTAAAGGCAAACATGAGGCGGCACGCATGGAATTGCGATTTATCAACAAAACCGGGAACAGACATTTTGACAAACCGTCATATGTATATATAGATATGTGTTGACAAAGCACACCAATCGTGATATACACTGTAGCCCAGTTGTATAATTGTTGTACATAGGGTATATTGTCCCAGCGATATATGTGGCTTATCCCAGTTTCTGGATGGGTTCAACTTGGCGGAATGGCTCAAATCTATGTAGCCATACCACGGTAGGGAGTGAAAAAAACCAGGGCTTTGAGAAATATCACTGAATCTTATCACTTGGGTACCCCGTATAGATGGTTTATCTAGATGGTTTATGAATGTCTATGATGATTCCAATGGTCAGATTTAATAAACCAATACATATTATAGATGGTTTATGAATTGGTTTATGATGATTCCTATTAAATATGTTAAACATGTCAGTTCATCATGGTTTATCGAGGATTTCCCATGGGATTTTCCGGAGGAAAATCGGGAGCCCAGGACATCCAGCAATTCTTCCGGAGCCATCATCCAGCTGTCCTCAGCTTAGCGAAAGGCACAAGGGTTTAAACAATGCCATAAACCATCCCCCAGTCATCACCATAAATGGATATAAAATGATATAAATGGGTGGTATAAACCATTCCCAAATGGGTAGTTTATGCTGACGGAATTTTTACCGTCCAGCAAAACGCATAGTTTTTGATGGGGTGGGGTGGGGTGGGGCAATAACGTTCATTGGCACTTACACACATACGTGATGCTACGCCACTGCACGTTCTTCTTCAACTGCCACACATACGTAATGCTACGCCACTGCACGTTCTTCTTCAACTGCCACACATACGTGATGCTACGCCACTGCACGTTCTTCTTCAACAGCCACACATACGTGATGCTACGCCACTGCACGTTCTTCTTCAACTGCCACACATATGTGATGCTACGCCACTGCACGTTCTTCTTCAACTGCCACACATACGTGATGCTACGCCACTGCACGTTCTTCTTCAACTGCGACATTCATCAAGCAACTGTCTTGATTCGACTTTGGGCCTCTTCAAGAAGAAAAAACGCTGAGAGGGTTGTCGATAGAAAAGTTAAACCCTCAAGTTCGGAGACCCCTTTTTTTCAGTCAAAATTGATGTTTCGCTATGGCGAAACGATGAATTAGTAATAAATATGTGGACGGTGAAAATTCCGCCGGGTAGTTTATGATTGTTTTAACCACATTACTAGGGTTTTGACATGTTTTGACATGTTTTGACATGTTTTGACATGTTTTGACCAATGGGTAAAACTGGGATAATGCTATTTTAGCATATGGTAATATGCTGTGAATCTGCCAGAAAATGACTAGGTGACTAAGACTTGAGGTTGGAGCCGAGAAGGACGAGCATGGGGACCCAAGGCTGACTGGTTCCAGACTTTCACGGTGCCCGGATTGCCAGGAAACTGTTGGATCCTGAAAATTGGGGCATCCTACGGGGATATGGTAGGGATATGTAGGGATATGTAGGGATGATGATCTATGATAAACCATCAATATTTGTTGGGGTACCCTCTGGTGATTTAACGTAGCTACCGAAGCCATGCAGCTATGGAAGCCACGACCCATTTAGTTCGATGATCTAGCAAAAATGGTGATTGTACATAGCAAACTGTTAGTCATTGCCAGAGGGTCAATCCCGCAAATACTCATTCATCCCAATAATCATCAATCATCATTAATCCCCACTAAGCATCATTAATCCCGACTAACCATGAATTCCATCGTTCATCAGCGAAAGTCACGGGGACTCATGGTACCAAGGCCTTGGGGTCCGCAGAACTCCTATGGCATCAAGGCTGAGGCCCCCTGTGCCCCAAATGGGGAAGGTAGCCACTTAGTTCACTTCAGTTTACTGGAACCATCATAACCATCTGGGAAGATTTCTGAATATTATGATTTAATATGAATCTGAACTCCGAAAGCTACAGGAGAAAACAGCAAAAAACCTTTCTGGGGCTGTTGAGATCCTGATTTTCTGGAGGTTTTGGAGAACTTCGCTGGGAACTTAGATTGTCAGACGGTACGTGTCGCTAGTCTCCAGCTTGGGCCAGCGAATGATGCAAGGAGTGAAACTGGGGCATCAGCATGTGAAATGACAGCCGAAAACAAGATCTTAAAAGGAGGGAACACAGACAGATGGACAAGAAAACAGAACGAACACATTGGTTTCCCTTTTGATTTAGCTTTGGAAGTTGTCACACGCGCTAATTTAGCGACTTGCAGCAGCTGCTTCAGATTCTACTATATGGTATACTTATAGTGGTATCTTGGCTGTCTACCAGCCTTGTAAGTGGGATTCAACATGATTCAACCAGTCAAGGTGCGTAGCAGTGCAGGATACTGCGCCAGGGTCCCGGCTCAGTTTGTTGGACGCAGAATGGGTTCTTTGGAGAAGTTGGGTGGAGAAGAGAACAGCAGGGCTTTCGATGAACCCCAATGCTTTGAGGGAGCTGATGTGGCCGCTGAAATCATGAATCGATCATTGAAGAGATACGAATGGAGATCTAGAAAAGTGCTCTGGGAAACGCAATAGAAGGATCTTCTTCCCTTTTGCTCAAGCCTCCTGACAGCACTCCTCAAACTCGTGGCGCCCTTGCCATTTATCGAAGCTATGGCACCAATGAAGGCAATGAAGGCGATGAAGGCCATGAAGGCGATGAAAGCAATGAAGGCGATGAAGGCGATGAAAGCAATGAAATCGATGAAGAAGGCCGTTGAGGAGGAGGCACCCGCAATGAAGGCCATGAAGGCGATGAAAGCGATGAAGGCCATGAAGGCGATGAAGGCCATGAAGTGAAAGATCTTCGGATGGCATTGCGGGCACCGCTTGGGTCACCATACTCAAGTGAGATTGCGGTGGGAGGAGTTTGTGCAGGTCCTTAGGGTCTGCTGGCTGCAAGCTGTACAGAAGAAAGGCGTACTTTAGTTCGCACTGTGTCAGTGTGCTTGCAAAAACCACGGACGTTTTGATGATGTGAGCAGCTGTTGCTTCGGATATCATTATTGTCTTTGATTGTTGTAGTATGTTTATGATTATGTATGTTGTACAGTAGGGAGGGTAATTTGTTTTTTATTTTTTTGGGGAATTTATTTTTATTTTTTGGTCCTGGCTCCTGGTGGCTTCTGTGGCTTCTGTGGCTCCTGGTGGCTCCTGGTGGCTTCTGCGGCTTCTGTGGCTTCTATGGCTTCTATGGCTCCTGGCCTCTAGGGGCTCCTCGCTCCTATGGCTCATTTATCATCTATCGATCAATCTATCAGTGAAGCATGTTCACCAGGTGCATGTTGTGCATTAGATACACCTTGAGTAGCATCTATCTATCTATCTATCTATCTGTCTATCTATCTGTCTATCTATCTATCTGTCTATCTATCTGTCTATCTATCTATCTGTCTATCTATCTATCTATCTAACTATCTATCTATCTATCTATCTATCTAACTAACTAACTATCTAACTATCTCTCGATCTGATTCTATCTATATCATTCTATATCCTTCTGATGACCAGACACTTTGACTGCAGTGGAAGGGCAGATCAAGTTGCTTCGCATCTTGGTCCTAAGTCTGGTATGTTTCTTGGAACAGTATTGAGGATTACGAGCAAGTTGTGCAACCTTGTTTGTAAGATTGGCAAACTAGGATTGATCCTTGAGTTAGCATTTTGGACTTTGCTTGCACCATTGTCCTTTGCTTGCAGTATCGTTTCCCTGGCAGTGAGCTGTCTTTGCAATATGGAATGCAGTGATGTTGACAAGATTGAAGGCTGGCTTAGATTCATGTTTGGTTCCAAGAAAGCTTCTCAGCAGTCTCTTCGTATGTGGCATGCTCTTCGATGTTTGGTCTTCTCTCCATTGCTCCTGTCCTCAGCTTTTGCGTCTCGTACGTTTGCCTGGTTGTGTTTCCACACGTCTGTTTCGCTGTGGTCTGATCCATTGGATTCACGGACGTGTGCATCATCCAGTCATTATTTCAATGCTTCTCCTGTTGCTGATCTTCAGGGTGGGGCGGGAAATTCCGAGATTGGTTCCAAGAATTGGCTCGACAGTATCTTGTCTGGTTTGGCTGCCCGACATCTTAAACCACCAATGCAATAGGTTAAGATGCTGGTTCAGAATGAAGCCACGTTGACTCGATTGAAGAAAGCTACTGAGCTCAAACAGCAACTTGATATCATTTGTGGTGCGGCGTACAGAGCGCAATTGGGTCGGCAAAAGGTTTCCAGTGACTCTACCGGTTCCTCTACTTCGGGTGCCCAGTCTTCCAACAACACCCCTGTTGGTCCGCCCCCTGAACCCAAAGTTCAAAGTTGGAGGCTTCGGCCTCGGGATTGGCAGTCTGCCAAGCCTGCATCTGCAGCTGAGCCTATCACGGGTGACAGACAGGATGTGTTTCGTACAAATGTTGAAGGGGATCCTTTGCTTCAGGTCTGGTCTCGTGTGTGTGTGGGGCATATTTTGTTGATCAGTCTGAAGCAGTGCGTATCATAAGGTCTATCCCTGCCCATATGCCACCTGCTGGCCTTTTCACCTTGGTCACAGTTGAACCCACGTGTCGGTCGGTCCCTGTCGCTGTTGAAACGGTGGTTGTGTTCCCTGATGGGTCACCTCATTTGAAGAAAGTGTATTTGTCGCACCTTGGCACTGACACTTTGTCCCCGGTTAGTTGGAAGTCTGTTTCGTTGGCAAGTGTTGAAAATGTTGACCTTCTTCTTGAATGGTGGAAAGATTTGTCCGTCGGTCGTGACCTTGAGAAATTCCATGAGTTCCATCGCGCTGCCGAAGAACTTGCAAATCCCAAGCCTAAAGGTTCCGGAAAGGCAAAAGGTAAACAGAAAGGGTCTGGCTCGGGTAAAATGTCAGACAGTTTGGCTGCCAGAATTTCTCAACATATCAAGTCCATGCCCCCGGATTCAGTGGGGAAAATGTTTGACTCTTTGAAGACTTCCAACCACAATGTGAAATCAGACATCATTCGAGTTTCCATACGGCTTCCCAAATCTGACGCTGTTACATGGCTTGTGAAAGGGGTTTCGCATGATGGCTTGCTTGTTAGAGATCTCACTGACTTTCCTGAAGCCCACGATCTTCGCAAAGTATGGGTCAATGAGGGTTGCCCGATTTTAGACGGCGATTCAATAAGCATCCGTCAAAGTTTGAGTCTCTACCTTGCCGATTTCAAGAGTGGTTGGTCAGTTGTTCGAACACCTTACCGTTGGGGTGTCAGGGTTGATAAGAGTCATGAGCGTGAAGTCATGTCAATTTTGCAACCGCGTTTTGTATATGTCCCAGAAGGCCACAGCAAATACCCTATCGATAATATTCCCAAGGGTGTCGATGCCGAAGCTTTGGTCAAAACCCTGACCTCCGACAACTTCCAGCCGTACCTGGTGTCAGTTCATGGGTCCAAGCTTGTCATTGCTGCTCCGAGTGCTCCGCCTGATATTGTGTTTGTCATTAAGGAGATCCAAACCACCTTGTTGCTGCAGCCCGTTCCTCAGGTTTCTCGTTCTTCTTCTGGTACTGGCGGTGTCTCGAATTCTGCTCTCAGGCATTTGGAGGATACCAGTCCCAAACGGAAAACAGCCAAGCCTAATGAGGATACGAAGGGAGGAGGGTTGTTGTCAAACAATCGGTTTGAACTGTTGGGTGCTGATGATATGGAGTTCCCTGCTTTGCCGTCCAAGTCGGTGCTCCATCCTCCTCACACAAAGCCGGATTGTCTCCCCAATCATGGCAACACTTGCTTTGTTGCTGCTGCCGTCCGTTGTCTTGCCCACATGGTCAAGCATTCCAGTGTTGCAAGTGCTGATGTCCATGATCCCTCTTTGCGTCAGTTGCTTTCTGATTTGTGCCCTTTTGCGTGGACGCGTTTCCTCTCTGCACATGGTCTTACCCCAACGAAGCAGGAAGATTCCGTGCTGTTTTTGCAGAAATTGCTTGACACAGAACCTGCCCTTGCTTCCCTTGTGCAGCTTGAAGAGCATATCGCTGTTGAATGTACTGGATGTCAAGAAAGCAAGACTCTTAATGTCTCTTCTCACGTGCTTCGTCTCCCTGCTCCTGAGACGGATCCCTGTACTCTCCAGGATCTGCTGGCTCAGCATTTTTGGACTTCGAACTCTGAACTTGAGTTGAGCTGCGAGCTTTGTTTTTCTGAGAATGCAACCCCCCAATCCAAGGTGGTCCAACATAAGGATTGGCTTCTGCTTCAAGTCCTTCGGGCAGGTGCCGATGATTCAAAAAAGGTTACCCCAGTTGAGGTGTGCCCTTCCTTGGATTTTGCGGATCACTGCTGGGACATGCAACTGGTGGTGTGTCATTTAGGTTCCACTGCATCTCAAGGTCACTACACTGTGTTGAAGCCTTCGGTGTCTGATTCTGAAGACTGGGTGGTTTATGATGATGCTGTCTGCCGACCTGCCGACTCCTCGGAAATTGCTGCCATTCCTGCGAACTGGTCTTTGGTCTTGTTCCGCCGTCGCTTGCAGGTCCGTGCGTCTGCTGTGTCTGCTGAAGCACCCCATGAAAAGTTGGTTGTGGCGCAGGAACAATGCGAGGCTGATCTCGCTACCTGTCAGGAAGCTCCAGCTGCTCCTCGGTCTATGCCAGGCTTGCCCGCATCTGTTTCTGATCCTGCGTCTGATGGTGTGGCTTCCCTTCCTCCTGTCCCTCACGATTTGGGCGTGTCATGCCTTGGCTGTGCTGCTTTGGAGTACGATTGGAGTCGTTTGAGAAGCGCTTGTCTGAGCTAAATGCCGAAGTTGCTCGTTTGCAGGCATTGTGTGCCACTCCTCCTGTGCCTTCTGCGCTTTCCCTTCGCACTTCTGTGATCGGTTCAGCTCCTGCTGCTGCTCCTCTTTCTGGCTCTCAGTCTGCTGTCTCTGTTGACGGGTCATTGCCGGTCAGCGTGCCGCCCCCTGCTGTTCGTGAGCCTGCCCCGGCTGATACTTTGCCTTCTCGGAAGAGCCACAACTCTCCTGTGGAAGTCGAGCAAAGACACCAAAGCTTAGGCATATGGCGAATTTCGCTAGATCATCCAATCCGGCTGTGATTGCTGAACTTGCGCGTCTGGGTGCTACTGCTGGAGCTGCTGATAAAGTTTGGTTGTTGGAACGCTTGCATGCTGATGCGCTCCTCCTTCCCCTTGCCTACCTTGTCAGGCATGGTTGCTCTTGGGATCTCTTGGGCGAAGCCTTTCGTTACAACAAGCGGGAAATCCAAACCCGATTGCAGACAGAGGCTATCCACGATCCTGGTGTTTGTTGGGCTTTGGTTCGCATGTTGCAACGTGGTCGATATAATCGCTTTGTTGCCCTGCATGCTTCGGATCAGTGGAAAAGTTTTG